CTGTCGCATAGTAATCGTCATAGATGGGTTTTCAAGGCTAAAAAGTGTGCCACGTTCGCATCACATACCAAATCTCTGGAATACTTGGGGTGAGCTGGATTAAGCAAGCGATGACTTCAAATACAATCAAGTAAGGGCGTATCTCAGTTTGTGTCATAGACACTGTTTGGGTCATCCGAGATTCTTAGACGACCAATGTGACGCATTTCAGCTACACTGTTGGAATACCATTGGTTCTCGGATGTCCCAAAGTGCTTCTATGACACAGAGTGAGCTTCTATGACACAAACTGAGATACGCCATAACACTATATTTTGTTCCTCAAAAGTCTTATCACTGGTTGGAATAAATTATTATCAAAGGTCTAGATATCGAACAAAAAACAAAAGGAATGAATTGACTAGCAAGGGTTGGGATACAAATAGATAACCCTAAACGGGTTGTACTCCGTACTGTGTGCCTCACTGTAGCCTAACATATATATAGTTTGACACACCCACATAGGCTAAGTGAGGGGCAACAAAACAAGCAAGAGAGACAGAAGGTCACAAGACCAGTCAAGGAAAGCAACAAGGCAAGGCAAGCAACTCACGGTGGCACAACTAGTCAGCCTCCTCTCACCCTATCACTGAAGGGAGTGAGACCAGAACGCACGAACACTGAAGGGTCGGCGGGCGAAGGACTGAACCCAAGGTCAGCAAGAGTGGTGCGCAGGGTGTCGTGCCACTGACGAGGTGCCTGGCGCAGCCCGTAGACTGGTCGTCTCAGGCTCCACTGAGCCCCAGGCGGGAAAGTACCAGTGAAGCCAGGAGGACGGCGTAGCCATATCTCCTCGTGCAGGCTGCCCTGGAGAAAGGCAGTGGAGAAGTATAGTGAGTGCAGCTCGTAGTCTCGCTGTGCTGCAACGTGTAGAAACATCCGAAGAGTAGTCATTTTCGGGGTGGGGGAGAAGGTATGGAAGAAGTCTACCCCCTCACGCATATCACGCCTTGAAGATAGGCGGCGATCCACAACCGCTTCACCTTGAAGATCCACATGCCACCCTGGGCCCGATGGTGTTAGTGCCGACGCGGGTGCGACGGTGACTCCGCAGCAGCAGCAACAGCAGCAGCTCCAACAGTGGGTCTCCCAGCGACAATGGGGACCTGTTGGGTCGGCGAGCAATGGCCGCAGAGGCGAGTCTGACAGCTGGGCGTCGAGTGGCCTCTCCCCTGCACCGTTTGCAGGTGCACTGGTAACACCACTGCGCGCTACTTCCGCCCGCTCGACGACCTCTTCCACGCCCACTTTGGGCCTACGGGGTCCCTCCAGGACTGGCCTGCTCTGTTATGCAGTGGTTTGTCTGTGTTTGATCTTGACATGTCTCAGATAGGATATGCTTTCCACGTATGTTGATGACTCTTGTGTTGCCGGATTCTATTATTATTGTGTGGCTATACTAGGTTCTCTGCTGTTTCTTGCGCAGGTGTGTCCACTGTCGACACGTCCCTCTCCTTCACTCTCGACTCCGACGCATCCCAGTGCTTCTTTCACGACCGCACCACCCTCTTGCCGCTTCTAGCTCATGTCGCAGTCTCCTTGGCTGACCCTCCTCTGAACTGGTCGTCGCACGCAGCGCTACTGCACTCTCGTGCCCAACATTCCCCTCTGGCTCCCTCACAAGTCTGCACATCCCCTCGTTCTCCAGAAACTTGGTGGGTGTCGGTTGTCTTCAGGACCTCGGTGCCACCACCAAGTTTCCTAGACATGAGTAGTTCGCGACCTGTACGGCCGCTACCACTGAGGCACCTCGTGCCACGTTTCCCCAGGACCGTGCATCAGGTCTTTTTACGCTGCACACTGCGTCCACCTAGGTTCCTGCGTTTGGCCAGGTAGCTGCGTCATGCTCGTGTCGGACGCTCACTCACCCGTCGCTCCTGTGGCACCGCCGTCTAGGCCACCCCGCCCTCCCACGACTCCATCACATGGCTCAGCACGGTCTTGTCTCTGGTCTCCCGTCGTCGCTCCCCGCTCTCCCTCCCTTCTCTGCGCCGCCGTGCACCCCTTGCATCGAGGCCAGGCAGCGCGCCGCCCGTCACTCCTCCTCCTTTCCTACCACCGCTGTGCCTCTTCAGACCTTACGCATGGACATCTGGTTCCCTGCCCCCGTCCCTGGGCCGCGCCGGGAGCGCTTCTTCCTGGTCGTTGTGGACGACAACTCTTGCTACACTACGGTGTTTCCCTTAGAGCAGAAGGCCGACGTGCCTGATGTTCTCCACAAGTGGCTAGTACCAGTCCGCACCCAGCGCGCCTAGTCGCCTTGGACCCTTCTGTCATGCGGAGGGCATCACCCAAACATATTCGCTCCCGGCCTCGCCGCAGCGGAATGGGGTAGATGAGTTTCGCATCGGCTTGGTCATGGAGATCGCTCGTACCTCCATGATTCATGCCAGAGCCCCCCATTTTCTGTGGCTGTTTGCAGTCCGCTACGCCGCGCACCAGCTTAACCTGTAGCCCCGTGTCTCACGGCCGCAGGTTTCGCCGATCCTCCTCTTGACTGATTCCCCTGGTGTTGCGTCTGCGTTTCGCGTCTGGTGCTGCCTTGTGCAGAGAGTCATTCTACAACGGGAGTTGGACTATGTGGGAGTATAACGGGGTTGTACGGGGTGATCAGAGCATTGCATACGTTCGCACTACTTGCTGTGTTTGTAGGTGAAATTGACAAGAGTTTCACTAGCAAAAGTTGATTGAAGAAGCACACAATGGCATGGCAAAGTCGATATACCTAGGGACACAATGCACCGAGCAACCTAGCAAGTCGACCTCCAGCGCAACACAAAGGCGGCTTGCCAAGGTTGCAAAATGGCGGTGTGCCAACGCAGCTGGAAGGCGGCTTGCCAACGCTACAGCAAGGCGGCTTGCCAGCGTCGCACCAAGGCGGCTTGCCAACGCTGCAGCAAGGCGGCCTGCCAGCGTTGCAGCAAGGCGGCCTGCCAGCGTTGCAGCCGCGGGCTACCATGTGCGCTCATGTGCACACCTACCAAAGTAGGTGCGCGTCTTCTCAACAGACGGTGCGTGGACGTCGTGCACGTGATGCACATTGCGCAGGTGCCAGGTTCGCGCACTGGCGCCAAAACCTCCTGGGGCGAAGTTCGCGCACCCCCGCATAACTTCGACGACCAGTTACCTGGTCGACCAGAAGAAGCCACTAATTCGGCGCCGACTTCGACGGTCGGTCGACGCCCATAGGTTGGCGCCCACAAGTCAGCGCGTGCAGGTCGGCGCCCACAAGTCAGCGCGTGCAGGTCGGCGCCCACAAGTCAGCGCGTGCAGGTCGGCGTCATGTCGACGACCACCATCATCGATCGCCGAGGCTGGACGCCGTCCCCCGACTTCAGTTCGTCGGCTTCGCCGTGGTCGGCTTCGCTGGAGTCGGCTCCGCCGAAGTTGGCTTCGTTGTGGTCGGCTCACCAAACCAGCCGACTTGCTCCTCCAAGTCGGCGCTGTCCACGAAGCCTGGCCGGCTCCACACCTTGCACGCCGGACAACGAAGTCGGCTTCGCCCAAGCGAAAGGCGGGGACTTTTCTCGTCAACACATTGCTCACGTCCGTGACCCTCGCGCGGACATGCTCTCAGCCCCCACTCTCTCGTTTGTCTTCCTTGGTTTTCCCCTCGACGCCCATGACTGGCTGCTCTACCACCCTTCGTCTCACCATTTCCTCCACTCTCGTGGCGTCACCTTTGACGAGTCTGTTTGCTTCTACACTCGCTTCCCTCACCGAGGTACCCCGGTCCCTTCCTCCTCCCCTCTTTCTCACTCCCACTCCTCTGCTCGCTCCCCTGCCCTTGCGTCCTGCCCCGTCTGGTACATTGTCTGATCTTAGGCTCTGCGCCTGCTATATTACGTCAAGGTGCTTGCTAAACCCTGAACCCCAAGTACCATAAGTGGAAAATGATTAGGCAAGTGATTGTGTTTCATTGTGTGGAACATTCATTACCGGTACGTATGTGGGTTGATGACTGAGATGGAGGGAGTTACAGCGAACGCTGGTTGGCAGATTAATGTGTTGCCTATCGCTGAGAGCAATGGAGCATTTGATCAACATGAGTTGATGAATCACACATACACTCAACCAAACATACAAGGTTGACATGTGTCGTGGCTTTCTGTTACACAGCAAACCCAGCCCAGCCCAGCCCAACCCAACCCATGCGCGATCTGACTTCATGCAATATTCCCCGCAGACGGGGCGTGTGGGCTGATCTAATGATGCCTTCTCTTGAACCAAGCTGATGTTCCACTCCCACCCAAGCCGCCACTCCCACCCAAGCCGCCACTCCCACCCAAGCCGCCACTCCCACCCAAGCCGCCACTCCCACCCAAGCCGCCACTCCCACCCAAGCCGCCACTCCCACCCAAGCCGCCACTCCCACCCGAGCCGCCACTCCCACCCCGCCAATCAATCATCATCATCATCCTCTTTCGTGTCTTTGGCTACCACCTAGCTGACACTCCACCCCCACGCGCAGATTGAGCCGTGCCTCTCCCTCCCTACAACCGAGATGAAGCTTGACCCGCACCTAGCTGAGGCTCTGCCATGCCTCTCCCTAAAACCGCGATGAAGTTTGACCCGCACCTAGCTGAGGCTCTGCCATGCCTCTCCCTACAACCGCGATGAAGTTTGACCCGCACCTAGCTGAGGCTCTGCCATGCCTCTCCCTCCCTACAACCGAGATGAAGCTTGACCCGCACCTAGCTGAGGCTCTGCCATGCCTCTCCCTCCCTACAACCGAGATGAAGCTTGACCCGCACCTAGCTGAGGCTCTGCCATGCCTCTCCCTCCCTACAACCGAGATGAAGCTTGACCCGCACCTAGCTGAGGCTCTGCCATGCCTCTCCCTCCCTACAACCGAGATGAAGCTTGACCCGCACCTAGCTGAGGCTCTGCCATGCCTCTCCCTACAACCGCGATGAAGCTCCACCCCCACCTAGCTGAGGCTCTGCCATGCCTCTCCCTCCCTACAGCCGAGATGAAGCCCCACCCGCAACCCCACCAGAGCTGCCACTCCTCCCACCCCTCATCATCATCTTTCTCTGCCAAACCCGCAGCTCCTTCTTGCCAATCGAGGCCAGATGCACCTCATCTGGACCGTCAGCGATGCGCAGAGTGCGGGTGGCGGTCCACAGGCGGGCAAGAGGGAAGTCCGAGCTCACTCCCCCCATTCCACCCTCCGCCTCCAATTCTGAACCCATGTAGACTCTATATATTCCAGTTCTCTACAGTTCTCTACAACCGGGATGAAGCTCCACCCTTACCCGAGCTGCCACTCCTCCCATCCCTCATCATCATCTTCCTCTGCCAGTCCCGCAGCTCCTTCTTTCCAATCGAGGCCAGATGCACCTCGTCGGGACCGTCAGCGATGCGCAGAGTGCGGGCGGCGGTCCACAGGCGGGCAAGAGGGAAGTCCGAGCTCACTCCCCCGCCCCCGTGCACCTGGATCGCCCTGTCCAAAACTTTCTGCGCTGCCCGGGGGGCGGCCACCTGAAAGAATGTGAAAATGGAATGGAAGGGCGGAAGAATGTAAAATGGAAGGGCGGAAGGATGTGAAAATGGGAGGGCGATTTTGGAGGGAATCCAAGAGAGTGATGAGAGGAGGGAGATACAAGTTTTGAGATGTATGAAAGCACAAGAGGAAGGGGAGAAGGTATGATGGTTAGACGGGGTCGAGAGCACAGCCACCCATATTCCCTGTGGCCCTTCTGTCTCTCACCCACCTTGGCCATGGCAATGGCAATCCGTGCCTCCTTGTTCCCCCTTGGCGTCCAACTCAGCAGCCGCCTGCAGCACCAGCAGCCGTGCCGTGTGCCATTGGGAGATGGCGACTTTTGAGCCGACTGGAACGTCACACGTGTGCCTCTTACGTGCCTCTTACCCACCTTGGCCATGGCAATAGCAATCCGTGCCTCCTTGTTCCCCTTGGCCCGTGACCCTCTCACCTTGGCCATGGCGATAGCAATCCGTGCCTCCTTGTTCCCCTTGGCATCCAACTCAGCTGCCGCCTGCAGCACCAGCAGCCGTGCCGCCTCCAGCGTGATGCGGCATTCGGCAGTATCCCGCACCACCGACTCGTTGCCGCCCAGCGGCCGCCCAAACGCCACCCGCGAGAGAGCGCGCTGGAGCATGCAGTGCATGGCTCGCTCTGTGGCTCCTATGAGTCGCATGCAGTGGTGCAGCCGACCAGGACCCAACCGACCCTGGTGGCACACCCAGGAGGGGGAAGGGGAAGGGGTGGGGGGGGGGAGGGGAGATGACTGATTAGGGTGGTGGGAGAGCGCGCTGGAGCATGCAATCCATGGCTCGCTCTGTGGCTCCTATGAGGCGCATGCAGTGGTGCAGCCGACCAGGGCCCAACCGACCCTAGTAAGGAGGAGAAGGATGGCGGAGGGGGGAAGGGGAGGGTGGAAGGGGAGTGATGGGCTTGTAGAGAGCAGCTGTGAGCTTGCAGTGCATGGCTCGCTCTGTGGCTCCTATGAGGCGCATGCAGTGGTGCAGCCGACCAGGACCCAACCGACCCTGGTAAGGAGGAGAAGGAGGGGGAAGGGGGTGGTGGGGGATAAGTGGTCGAGTTGGAGAGGGCATGACGGAGCATGCAGTCCATAGCTCGCTCTGTGGCTCCTATGAGCCGCATGCACTGGTGCAGCTCGAAGCCTCGTCCTTCACCCAGCAGCACACTTGTCTTGGGCACTCTGACCCCTTCAAAGAGCACCTCGGAGTGCCCGTGCGGGGCATCGTCATACCCAAACACCAGCAGCGGATAGCAGGCACACCTGATGCACCTGATGCACCTGCTGCAGGGTATAGACCCACCCAGTAGTGGCTCCCGCTCTTCTCACCTGGGCGATCTCAAAGCCTCGTCCTTCCCCCAGCAGCACGTTCGCCTTGGGCACCTTAACCCCCTCAAACAGCACCTCGGAGTGCCCGTGCGGCGCATCATCATACCCAAACACCAGCAGCAGATGGCATCACTTCTCCTCACCTGGGCAATCTCGAAGCCGCGTCCTTCACCTAGTAGCACGTTAGTCTTGGGCACCCTAACCCCCTCAAACAGCACCTCAGAGTGCCCGTGCGGCGCATCATCATACCCAAACACCAGCAGCGGCCGCACCACCGTCACCCCAGGGGCACCCATGGGCACCAGCAGCATGGACTGCTGCCTGTGTGCGGGCGCGGAGAGGGGCCCAGAAGGAGCAGCTCGCTGCGGGTGCTTGCCCATGAAGATGGCGAGCTGGCAGCGCGGGTCGCTGGCTCCACTGGCCCACCACTTGTGGCCGTGCAAGATGTAGTGGTCTCCGGTACTGCATGGGAGGAGTGGGGAAGCGGGGGATGATAAGAAAGAGTCACCTAGTATGCAACTTGTGCACATGTGCTGGCGTGAGGAGTCGCTGGCGCCAATGGCCCACCAGTTGTGGCAGTGTAGGGTGTAGTGTGCTCTCCCGCACTGCATGGGGAAGTAGACAGGGTAGTGGAGTGGAAATGGGGGGAGTAAACGCCGTGGTGGAGTGGGAATCAGCAAGCGCAGGTTGAACGGCGCACAAACTTTGCTTTGCACACCTCTCATTTTGAGTCTACTTCCAACCACACCTGTCCATCCAACACTACCTCTCTATCCGCGCCTCAATGTTGGTGGCGTCACTTGAAGCCACTCGTGGCTCGGTCATGGCGAAGCATGAACGAATCGTGCCCTCCAGCAGAGCAGACTTGCTTCTATGCCTCCACAAGAGACTAATTCCACCCACTCTCTGTGTTCCTGCCTGTACACACCTCTCTATTCTGGCTTCAATGTTGGTGGCGTCACTTGAAGCCACTCGTGGCTCCGTCATGGCGAAGCACGAGCGGATCTTGCCCTCCAGCAGAGGAGGTTGGTGGGCCACTTCAAAACACTGCCCAACACATCCGCCCCCCCCAGCCCACCTCTCCATCCGCACCTCTCTATCCTGGCCTCAATGTTGGTGGCGTCACTTGAAGCCACTCGTGGCTCCGTCATGGCGAAGCACGAGCGGATCTTGCCCTCCAGCAGCGGAGGTTGGGGCACCTGACAACACCATTGCCACCCCCTGTACTGCACTGTCAAACACATCCGCCCCACACGCACCTCTCTATCCGCGCCTCAATGTTGGTGGCGTCACTTGAAGCCACTCTTGGTTCCGTCATGGCGAAGCACGAGCGGATCTTGCCCTCCAGCAGAGGCACCAGCCACTCCCGCTGCTGCTGCTCGTTGCCGTACCGCAAGAGAACCTGGTTGGCGGGACGGAGGGTGAGAGTGGGTAAGAGACTGCTGTTCACCCATTCAGCAAGAGACTGCTGAACGTCGTCCCAGAGCATTGAACCACATCCCACCACAGTGTACCCCTCCACCCCACCTCCATGTTGCCTGTGTCGGGAGTGGAGCAGTTGAAGAGCTCAGGCGCCCACACGCTCTTGCCCATCTCCTTGCATACGTGCGCATAGTCCAGATTCGATAGCCCCGCCCCCAGCAGCACACCCCCTCCCACCGCACTGAACCGCACTCCGCCACACTCCACCGCACTCAACCTCATCCCACCCCACTGAACCACACTCCACCGCACTGAACCCCACCTCCATGTTGCCTGTGTCAGGGGCGGAGCAGTTGAAGAGCTCAGGCGCCCACACGCTCTTGCCCATCTCCTTGCACACGTGCGCATAGTCCAGATTCGATAGCCCCGCCCCCAGCAGCACACCCCCTCCCACCGCACTGAACCGCACTCCGCCACACTCCACCGCACTCAACCTCATCCCACCCCACTGAACCACACTCCATCGCACTGAACCCCACCTCCATGTTTCCAGTGTCGGGGGCGGAGCAGTTGAAGAGCTCAGGCGCCCACACGCTCTTGCCCATCTCCTTGCACACGTGCGCATAGTCCAGATTCGATAGCCCCGCCCCCAACAGCCCGCGGCTCTGACAGTCGCGGAGGACAGGCGTCACTGGCACTGGCACTCCCCCATCCTGACATGGGGGGGTTGGGGTTTTGAGTCGACTCAATGATCAGATTCGACATACCCTCTGCCTGCCCCCAGCAGCCTGCGGCTCTGGCACTCGTGGAGGACAGGCGTCACTGGCACCCCTGCGTCCTGACATGGGGAGGACGAGGGAGAAGGGCGCAAGGCAGAGGCGGAGGGCGAAGGGAAGAGAGGGAGGGCGCAGAGCGGAGGGTGGAGGGGGAGGGCAGAGAGCAGAGGGAGGAAGGGGGTGGGCAAAGGGTGGAGGGGGGCGAAGGAGGGCAAGAATCAGGTGAAGTGTCAGCTGTGCAGTCTGAAAGGGCTTGAAGGGGGGCAAGGGACGGTGGGAAGTGCGGTGTGGGGGGAAGAAAGGGGGGTTGGCGTCTGTTTTTGCACACATGAGCGTAGCTTAGGACTCTATGTTCAACGAATCTGGTCACAGCAGCCACATGCCGGTGGTCATGCAGAAGAGCAGCAGTATGCGAGCAGCAGAAGTTTGGCGACCTCCCATAGTTCTTCGTCCCGTCCATAAGCACCACCATCACCTCTTATGACTTAAAACGAGCCCGAAACTCACCAAGGCAGGAATCCACAGGTTCCAAAGCCCAGCCTGCTTCGCCTTCCCCTTCAATCGCTCCACAAGAGGGTGAATAATCCACCTTGCCTGTCCCAATACACACACCAAACCAGAGCGGGTACCCACATACTATAGACTCTCACCAGAGCGGGAATCCAGAGGTTCCAAAGACCAGCCTGCTTGGCCTTCCCTTTCAATCGCTCCACCAGGGGGTGAATCGTCCACCGTGCCTCGCTCACTGCGTGCGCCTCCAATATCCCCTCTATAGGCAGCACCTCTTGCGTTACAAACTCCGCCACTCGCCTCCTCAGTGCCTCGGCTCGCGGGCTGGGCGCCAGCCCCACTGGATGGGACGGCGACACTGGCACCGCACTGGATCCATCCCAACTCCCTGCACTGCCCCCTGCACCGCTGGAACCACCGATGCTGCTACTGCTGCTGCTGCCTTGCGCTGCTGCTGCTGCTGCTGCTGCTGCTGGTGGTGGCGGTGGTGGTAGGGAAGGGATAGAGGAGGGCGAATGCACCACGTGCAGGGCGCATGCTATGAGGCCGGCCACTTGACGACCCGCCTGACCAGCCCTGCTGGATGAAGCATTGCCCTGAAGGGGAGGGGGATGGGGAGGGAAGAGGGTACGAGCAGGAATGGAGGGGGGCGAGTGCACCACGTGCAGTGCGCATGCTACGAGCCCAGCCACCTGACGACCCGCCTGGCCTGCCCTACTGGACGACGCATTGCCCTGAGGGGGAAGGAGGGGAGAGCGGGGGACGGAAAAGCAGGGGACGCATGGAATGATGATTCGTGCGCATGTGATGGGGCAATGCGCTGAATGCACGAGGGGGTGCATGCACATGCATGCAGTGACTCCAATTGTGCTCTACCTGCAGTGCTCTACCTGCAGTGCTCTACCTGCAGTGCTCTACCTGCAGTGCTCTACCTGCAGTGCTCTACCTGCAGTGCTCTACCTGCAGTGCTCTACCTGCAGTGCTCTACCTGCAGTGCTCTACCTGCAGTGCTCTACCTGCAGTGCTCTACCTGCAGTGCTCTACCTGCAGTGCTCTACCTGCAGTGCTCTACCTGCAGTGCTCTACCTGCAGTGCTCTACCTGCAGTGCTCTACCTGCAGTGCTCTACCTGCAGTGCTCTACCTGCAGTGCTCTACCTGCAGTGCTCTACCTGCAGTGCTCTACCTGCAGTGCTCTACCTGCAGTGCTCTACCTGCAGTGCTCTACCTGCAGTGCTCTACCTGCAGTGCTCTACCTGCAGTGCTCTACCTGCAGTGCTCTACCTGCAGTGCTCTACCTGCAGTGCTCTACCTGCAGTGCTCTACCTGCAGTGCTCTACCTGCAGTGCTCTACCTGTGCTCTACCCTCTACCTGCAGTGCTCTACCTGCAGTGCTCTACCTGCAGTGCTCTACCTGCAGTGCTCTACCTGCAGTGCTCTACCTGCAGTGCTCTACCTGCAGTGCTCTACCTGCAGTGCTCTACCTGCAGTGCCTACCTGCAGTGCTCTACCTGCAGTGCTCTACCTGCAGTGCTCTACCTGCAGTGCTCTACCTGCAGTGCTCTACCTGCAGTGCTCTACCTGCAGTGCTCTACCTGCAGTGCTCTACCTGCAGTGCTCTACCTGCAGTGCTTCTACCTGCAGTGCTCTACCTGCAGTGCTCTACCTGCAGTGCTCTACTGCAGTGCTCTACCTGCAGTGCTCTACCTGCAGTGCTCTACCTGCAGTGCTCTACCTGCAGTGCTCTACCTGCAGTGCTCTACCTGCAGTGCTCTACCTGCAGTGCTCTACCTGCAGTGCTCTACCTGCAGTGCTCTACCTGCAGTGCTCTACCTGCAGTGCTCTACCTGCAGTGCTCTACCTGCAGTGCCTCTACCTGCAGTGCTCTACCTGCAGTGCTCTACCTGCAGTGCTCTACCTGCAGTGCTCTACCTGCAGTGCTCTACCTGCAGTGCTCTACCTGCAGTGCTCTACCTGCAGTGCTCTACCTGCAGTGCTCTACCTGCAGTGCTCTACCTGCAGTGCTCTACCTGCAGTGCTCTACCTGCAGTGCTCTACCTGCAGTGCTCTACCTGCAGTGCTCTACCTGCAGTGCTCTACCTGCAGTGCTCTACCTGCAGTGCTCTACCTGCAGTGCTCTACCTGCAGTGCTCTACCTGCAGTGCTCTACCTGCAGTGCTCTACCTGCAGTGCTCTACCTGCAGTGCTCTACCTGCAGTGCTCTACCTGCAGTGCTCTACCTGCAGTGCTCTACCTGCAGTGCTCTACCTGCAGTGCTCTACCTGCAGTGCTCTACCTGCAGTGCTCTACCTGCAGTGCTCTACCTGCAGTGCTCTACCTGCAGTGCTCTACCTGCAGTGCTCTACCTGCAGTGCTCTACCTGCAGTGCTCTACCTGCAGTGCTCTACCTGCAGTGCTCTACCTGCAGTGCTCTACCTGCAGTGCTCTACCTGCAGTGCTCTACCTGCAGTGCTCTACCTGCAGTGCTCTACCTGCAGTGCTCTACCTGCAGTGCTCTACCTGCAGTGCTCTACCTGCAGTGCTCTACCTGCAGTGCTCTACCTGCAGTGCTCTACCTGCAGTGCTCTACCTGCAGTGCTCTACCTGCAGTGCTCTACCTGCAGTGCTCTACCTGCAGTGCTCTACCTGCAGTGCTCTACCTGCAGTGCTCTACCTGCAGTGCTCTACCTGCAGTGCTCTACCTGCAGTGCTCTACCTGCAGTGCTCTACCTGCAGTGCTCTACCTGCAGTGCTCTACCTGCAGTGCTCTACCTGCAGTGCTCTACCTGCAGTGCTCTACCTGCAGTGCTCTACCTGCAGTGCTCTACCTGCAGTGCTCTACCTGCAGTGCTCTACCTGCAGTGCTCTACCTGCAGTGCTCTACCTGCAGTGCTCTACCTGCAGTGCTCTACCTGCAGTGCTCTACCTGCAGTGCTCTACCTGCAGTGCTCTACCTGCAGTGCTCTACCTGCAGTGCTCTACCTGCAGTGCTCTACCTGCAGTGCTCTACCTGCAGTGCTCTACCTGCAGTGCTCTACCTGCAGTGCTCTACCTGCAGTGCTCTACCTGCAGTGCTCTACCTGCAGTGCTCTACCTGCAGTGCTCTACCTGCAGTGCTCTACCTGCAGTGCTCTACCTGCAGTGCTCTACCTGCAGTGCTCTACCTGCAGTGCTCTACCTGCAGTGCTCTACCTGCAGTGCTCTACCTGCAGTGCTCTACCTGCAGTGCTCTACCTGCAGTGCTCTACCTGCAGTGCTCTACCTGCAGTGCTCTACCTGCAGTGCTCTACCTGCAGTGCTCTACCTGCAGTGCTCTACCTGCAGTGCTCTACCTGCAGTGCTCTACCTGCAGTGCTCTAACCTGCAGTGCTCTACCTGCAGTGCTCTACCTGCAGTGCTCTACCTGCAGTGCTCTACCTGCAGTGCTCTACCTGCAGTGCTCTACCTGCAGTGCTCTACCTGCAGTGCTCTACCTGCAGTGCTCTACCTGCAGTGCTCTACCTGCAGTGCTCTACCTGCAGTGCTCTACCTGCAGTGCTCTACCTGCAGTGCTCTACCTGCAGTGCTCTACCTGCAGTGCTCTACCTGCAGTGCTCTACCTGCAGTGCTCTACCTGCAGTGCTCTACCTGCAGTGCTCTACCTGCAGTGCTCTACCTGCAGTGCTCTACCTGCAGTGCTCTACCTGCAGTGCTCTACCTGCAGTGCTCTACCTGCAGTGCTCTACCTGCAGTGCTCTACCTGCAGTGCTCTACCTGCAGTGGCTCTACCTGCAGTGCTCTACCTGGCAGTGCTCTACCTGCAGTGGCTCTACCTGCAGTGCTCTACCTGCAGTGCTCTACCTGCAGTGCTCTACCTGCAGTGCTCTACCTGCAGTGCTCTACCTGCAGTGCTCTACCTGCAGTGCTCTACCTGCAGTGCTCTACCTGCAGTGCTCTACCTGCAGTGCTCTACCTGCAGTGCTCTACCTGCAGTGCTCTACCTGCAGTGCTCTACCTGCAGTGCTCTACCTGGCAGTGCTCTACCTGCAGTGCTCTACCTGCAGTGCTCTACCTGCAGTGCTCTACCTGCAGTGCTCTACCTGCAGTGCTCTACCTGCAGTGCTCTACCTGCAGTGCTCTACCTGCAGTGCTCTACCTGCAGTGCTCTACCTGCAGTGCTCTACCTGCAGTGCTCTACCTGCAGTGCTCTACCTGCAGTGCTCTACCTGCAGTGCTCTACTGCAGTGCTTCTACCTGCAGTGCTCTACCTGCAGTGCTCTACCTGCAGTGCTCTACCTGCAGTGCTCTACCTGCAGTGCTCTACCTGCAGTGCTCTACCTGCAGTGCTCTACCTGCAGTGCTCTACCTGCAGTGCTCTACCTGCAGTGCTCTACCTGCAGTGCTCTACCTGCAGTGCTCTACCTGCAGTGCTCGTTGATAGATCCCAGTGAAGATTGCAGCACCGCGGAAAAGCGAAAGGGCCACGTAAAAACGCCAGGTGTCACCGGGCCATAGGCTGACGCCCTGCACGCAACAAACGTACATCAAGAGAGGCAAGGAGATGACAAGAAGGTGAGAAAAGATCCTTGGACAAAAAGGGTTACAAGCAAGCATGTTGCAGTGTGTTGTGTGGCACGTTCATTTCATCTGAAGGCGCCACAAAAATATTTTTAAGGCGCCTCAAAAAGAGAGGCAAGGAGATGACAAGAAGGTGAGAAAATATCCTTGGACAGAAAGGGTTACAAGCAAGCATGTTGCAGCAGCATGTGGCAGCATGTGGCAGCATGTGGCACGTTCATTTCATCCATCCACACCGGAACCTGCAGCAGGCATGGACGAACTGTTGCTGTGAGGAGAACGCCATTTGAGTGGACTCAGAGTCACCTCTGCTGTTACTTCGACCCATCTCAGACTCACCGGCATGAATGGCCAGCTCACCTGCAGGTGCCGAAGCTCGTGGCAGCAAGTGCGCACAAACTGCGCCTGTGAGGGAATGCCAGCACAGCAGGCAACGCAAGGCATGGCAGCCAGCCCCCCCATACAGTAAGTACACGCACGCTCAGCCCACCTGCAGGTGCCGAAGCTCGTGGCAGTATGCGCGCACAAACTGCGCTTCTGAAGGAATGCCGGCCGGCAGTCCCCCTGCTGGCGGTGCCCTGGGCAGCTGGGTGATGCCCAGGGATGGCAGCATGGCTCCACGCTGGGATGTCATTTACCAGCCCCTTGCACCTGCACGCACAAGCCAGCTCACCTGCAGGCGCTGAATCTCGTGGCAGTAGGCATGCACGAACTGTGCCTCTGAGGGAATAACTTTCAGCTGACTCAGAACCACTCTCACCTGCAGGCGCTGAATCTCGTGGCAGTAGGCATGCACGAACTGTGCCTCTGAGGGAATGCCAGCTGGCAGCGCCTCTGCTGGTGGCCCCCCGGGCAGCTGCGTGATGCCCAGGGATGGCAGCATGGCTCCTGGCTGGGATGGCGGCAGGTGGTACGGCTGGGGGCGTGGGGATGGGCGTTGTTGGGGAGAGAAGCGAAGGGGAGAATGAGAAAGTTAAGGTGAAGAGGGGTGCACGGTGCAGCTGGGTGATGGGGGATGGCAGCATGGCTCCCCGCTGGGATGGCGGCAGGTGGTGCGGCTGGGGCATGGGGAGGCGGTGTTTGGGGTGAAGGGCGAAGGGAGAAGGGAAGGGAAAGAGAGAAAGGAGACGGGAGAAGCTGAGTGCGACGGGAGGTGCATCGGGCAGCGGGGAGACGCTTAAGGATGGCAATGGCTCTCAGCTGAGCCTGCGATGGTCGGTAGTACTTTTGATGCGCCTCAAAAGTCAGCTGAGACTGCGCTGGGCGGTAGTAGTACTGCTGGAAATATTTTCAAGAGTGTCTGGCAATGCTTGTCCGTGAATCAACTCAGAGTGGATGACGTACAAGGCAGCGGTAGTACTACCAGCCCAGTAGAGTACAGCACAGCACCACATCAGACATCTGATTCTCGAGTGAGTCCAGGACTGACCACATGCCAAGCAGCAGGCAGCAGCAACCCAAGTCGGTAACACATCTAATTTCCAAGTCGACCCAGGGTTGATCACTTACGAGGCAGCAGTACGCCACGTCAGACATCTGGTTCCCGAGGGTGGATAGCTCCCAGTCCAGCACAGCTACCACTCACGGCTTTTGAGTCGACTCGAAATTCCCAAGCCAACGCAGGTGCGATCATTAGATAACTTACCAAACAGCAGTACGCCACGTCAGACATCTGGTTCCCGAGGGTGGATAGCTCCCAGTCCAGGACAGCCACCACACGCGGCTGACAGGCAGAAGAGGAAGAAAACACACAATGGGGGGTTGCAATTTGCACAACCGTGATAACGGGGAAGGAAAACGATGAGAGTAGGAGGCTGAGAAGCTGTAACCAAGGGGCAACAGTGGACGATTCTCGACAGGCACAATCCCCAGCCTCCTGATAAAAACAAATGAAAATGAATCAAGGCCTCATGGAAAGAGAGAAGCCACGACTTTACCCTCACCTCCGTGGGGTGAAACACGAGGTTATCCAGGCGAAAGTCCCCATGCACGACGCCCCTCATCACCCCATCCGCTGCTGCATCTTCCCCAGGCACATTCTCCCTCAGCCACGCAATCAGCCCCCTCATCTTCACATCCTCCTCCCTAAACTCTTCCCCTATGGATTTTACGGATGTCTCGTATTGCTTCGCCCACCGCTCCACCTGCCGCCGGCAGTAGCTGTCCGGGCGGCCGAACCCGTCTTTTTGCAGCTGGGGCAGGCGGGCGGAATGCAGGGCGGCAAGGGTGCCGGCCATGGCGGTGTAGATCTGAGTCCGGGCGGCGGGTGGTAGATCCTGGTTGGGTGGATGGGGAAGAAAGAAAGAAATTAAAAAAGGAAAGAACGGAAGTGGGATACAGCAAGGGGAGAGTGCTATAGTGATCGAGTGGCGGGAAACCGTGAGGTGATTACAGTATAAGGAAACATGAAATGGCCAGGTATCTCTTTTGGCAAACTCAGAATGAAAGAACATGCACAAGAAGTCTTCATGCCGGAACGCACAGAAAGCAGGGGAAATGCGGCTGAGAGCAAAGTCACTCGCTTGCTCATATAACCAGCTGGGGGGGCGAGAAGGCTCACAGGGAGGCATGGGTCGGTGAATATGCGGCCAGGGACGAAGTCCATGATGTAAAAGGGTGTGCCTATAACGGAGGGGTCCGTGCAGAGGGCATGCACTGCTGGCACGGGCACTGTTGCTCCTGCAGCCGGTGAGCCCAGCGCCGCCAGCACCTGAGAGATTGCCAGGAAAACGGTTGAAATGGAAGTACTACAAACATAGAATGCAGGGGTTGGATTGGATATAATGTAACTAATAGAACCTCCTTCCCCTCTTACTAATGTAACTAATGTAACATAGAATGCATGGATTGGATTGAATCCCCCTTGGAGCTATACTACGGGTCAAGCTTCAAGGACTGACGTGACGTCTATCAGGAGTCTTCTTCACTCCATCCATCCATGGCGTGGGCAACCTCAGGAGGTGACTTGGTCCAGGTGGCTTCTTTGAGGCACGAAGGCTGATTGATTGAAGCATAGGATGCGACAAATCTCAGCAGCAGGACAGGCTACCTGGAATTCTCGCTCCACGGCGTGAGCGGACTTGAGCAGGTGACCGGGGGGTTTCATTGAGACAAAACAAAGATAATGGGTTAAAGCCTTGCGAAGAAACAATTGCTGCAGCAGGCTACCTGGAATTCTCGCTCCACGGCGTGAGCGGACTTGAGCAGGTGACCAGGGGGTTTCTTCCGGAGCACGAAAGCTTATGAATCATGCCTTGAGAACAAATGATTGCTGCAGCAGAATACCTGGAATTCTCGCTCCACAGCGTGAGCGGACTTGAGCAAGTCACCGGGGGGTTTCTTCCGGAGCACGAATCTGGCGGGAGGAGAGCCATGATGGGCGGACGACACTTCCAGCAGGTACGTGGGGTTGGACTGCCCGTGGCCGAACTGCCATGCGGAGAGATAGAGAGAGGTCAGAGAGGAGAATGATGCACAGGACACAGTGGTAACCGCTGTGCTTATCCAACTGGATGGGAAAGCAGGAAGACGACGGTGGACTCTCGCATGGAAGGCCAGAAAGCAATCAAAAGTGTGGATACAAGCTCCTGTGACGGATGTCATCAGCGGATTCGACAAATTGACGATTTTTCGCGAGATCGATGCCTCGCCTGCGAAATCTTCAGCGCGTCGGCGTTCGCCGGCACGTTCCTGACGTTTCGCTTGAGGTAGCTGAGCACGGCCGCCTCGTCCAGACGATGCTGGGGAGCCACGGGCCCGACAAGCTCGAGGGTGCGGTTCGTCATGTCTTGCAGCGGTGAACGTTACTGACTGGGAAAGACGACGGCGCTGCCGAGATGAGAGGAAGAAATAAGGGTTCACATGCACACCCGTTGGCTAAATGTCGTGAGTTACGTGCTACAGATTAGGAATGTAACCTCAAGAACCACGGCTACGCAGAAGCTAAGTGGGCTTGGAATATAATTATGTGGAAGTAGCAATGGCTCCTTGAACCTCGAGATTTGTGCAGTTTCAACGGGCTGAAGTTGCGGTTTGGTTCGGTCGCTGCGACATATGATGGCGAAAACAAGACAGCTGTGCGCGGTCGGATAGCAGGTTCGATGATTTTGTCTTGCTGCTGGCCGTCGATTGCGTTTGCGAGGTTTGCATTTGCTCATTCTCCAGCTCAAGCGGGAATCACGAAACGAGCTCTCGTGTGTTACGAGTCGTCAGCATGTTTCGCCCTAATCGCGAAACGACCCCACAAGCAACAGCCACAAGCCTGGGTGACTGCAAATGCCATCGCACAGAACCACTGCCCAAAACTCCTCGCTTGTTTTTTCACTCATTCATCCTCACTCCACTTCCAGGAATATGCCAGTCCTGCTTTTCCCATTTCACTTCCTAGAATACGCGATTCCTGCATTTCCCTTTTTACGTCCTAGAATACGCCATTCCTGCTTTTCCCATTGTACGTCCTAGAATAGACGCCATTCCCGCTTTTCCTATCCCACTGTTTCCAACACATTCAAGCAGAAGCTCTTGCGGATATAGCTGACATCGATTTTCTTGCTTTCCGCCTTCCGGACTTTCTCGCATTCGTGTTTACCGTGTTCAGAGTGCAAAGCAACACGCTTCACATCGGTTCTTATAATGAACGCCGCTACTAGTCTTTCAGAGCCCATGGACCGATGTTCAGCCATAAAAAATGAAGAAAGCAAGGACAAGAAGCCAAAGCGGAAAAGAAGAAGAATGTGGGTCAAGGATAGTGGAGTAAGTTCCTGCCGAAGCCGAGAGCCGCACGCTGCAGCCACACGCATCAGCAAGCGAATAAAGTTCACGCCGTCGCGTTTTGGTACATACTACGACGGAATTCGTACTCTTGTCGGGGAAGACTTCCAAGCGGACGTGGAAGAGGAGCCTGAGAAACAAATAAATGTGGATGCTTTATCACAAAATCCGTATGAAGGAGTTGCGCTGACTGAGCACGAGTTCACAGTCAGCACCAAGAACACTGTCAACAAGAAAATCACTTTGACTCCAGAAGAGTAGAGCTGGTTCATCGATCAAAATCCTGCCATGAGCGGGGAGGCTGTCATTCCACTCGAATTACTATCCAGGAACCTTCATTATTCCTTTCATAGTTCTCGCTCTGTACATTGACTGAATCCAATGCTTCCTCCCAGCTTCTGAGTTCGTATGTTTAGGAACCACTATATCAAACATGCTACGTACCTGTTACTAAGCCTTACCAGAACAAACTACAAATCCTTGCAATCAGTGAACCAGTGAACCCGCTAGAGTTTGGACATCTTCTGCTCACCTGGCTTATCATATGTTACGTGACATGATATTTAAACTTCAACATACCGGAAACACCATTAATAGAAAACATCTGGATAAACTTACAGCAAAGGCTATGGTCGTTACCAATTGGTGCTGTTTGGATATATTTGTTGTCTGATCCTCCAAAAGCTTTTATGTATACTATGATGTTTAATTACAATATGCAAAGGCTTAGCGAATTGCTACCACTTTCACCAGACCCCATCCTCGACATGGTCGCACCAGCTCCGCGATCCCCAGCCCAGGCGAGCTGGCGACACAAGCCGCATCCTGGCGACACAGGTTCTGACACAAGTCGCCTCGTGCGACAGAGGTTGCGAGGGATTGCTGGCTAGCCTGGAAGACGACACGCGCCTATGGATGTCCAGCGAGGCGGTGCCTGTCATCCATATCCCCCTATGGCTGTCGTCTTTAGAAACCACCGAGCCGATGGCTGTCATAATAATCCTATAAATCCACAGAAACAATGTCGGCGAATATATAATCCACTGGGCCTATGGCTGTCCGTGGATGACGGCACAGTACCGAGTGACTCGCACAACTACTCTACTGTATCGACTTCATCTTCTAGGATCTTCGTGCCACAAACGGGACTAGCGGCGCATAGTGTGGGTATTGAGGATAGGATTGCGGGTCTCATGGGAATTGCGTGTCGCGCGGCGCGTACGATGTGCTCGCAGCGGCATACCTCGCGGCCCGACAGCCTGCTTGCGGCGAGAAACACGCTGGCGCAATGGTGACTGCTGCCAACAGTGACACCATTACAGGAGCTGCAGGGCAGACATAGTAGTAGTACCACTAGACTTACAGGAGCTGCAGCTCAGAGGTACTGTAGTACCACTGACGTACAGGACTATGTAACGCCACTGCCTCCTCCACGTGCGGAGTACCACTTTTTCCCGCCGCGGTTTGCGTTATGGGACGTCTCAAAAATTCCCGCCGTGTGCAACTGGAACGGTGGGTCGCCGCGCGCAGCGACCTCGGCCAGGCGATTTTTTTTTTTTTTCGCAGACCCTTTCACCGCTGCTCATGGAGGCGTTTTCGCAAAACCGTACTGTAACCCTAATTTCGCTAACTCCTATGCGCCCTGGTGCAATGCGTAGTGCGATGAGCGGCCCTCACCTCCCCAGTGGACGGGCACGAGCCACGATGTTCCGTGAGCTAGCAAATCCATCGCTGGATATCTGCGACGGAATGCGACGTCAGGCGACCTCACGGCGGCGACGGGGTCATGCGGCGACCTTCGCTGTGGAGCTCGCGTGTTCGTCGCAGGGAAGCTGTTGTCGTGTAGCGCGCGCCAGGAATCTACAGCCTGTACCATTTTCATTTGCAAGGATGTGCTAGTTCCGTTTCCGTTTCCAACAGCATGAGATGTCGCGGGCTTTTCTTCCGGTAGTACCCTTACTAGTATCATAATACGCACCAGGTTGTATCAAAATACAAGCGATTCACAGTTTCGCGGAGCACCATTTCACAGTCGCATGCGCCGTCGCACCGTCACAGAGGTAGTGACTGTCGCTCTCTCCTGCCGTGACCAAATTGAGGTTCACGGCGACGAGAATCCCTTCGTAAGGTAGTCATTCCTTCGAAAGGAGTTTTTTTGTTGGTCTCTTCGCCGCGCCACTTCTGTTGAGTTAGTGTTGTGACCTCGGGTACTACCGAGGCAAGCACGATGACTGTCTTTCTTGATGGTCAAACGGAAAAGTCAACGTGAGGTTCAACGTGAGGGTCAACGCGAGGGTCAACGCGAGGGTCAACGCGATGCTCTACGCGCCTCGCGATCCCGAGCCTCGGCTATCGCCGCTGTAGGTAAGCCCCCAGATTTCAACGGAGTTGTTGATGCTTTCTTCCTTTCCTCCCGTCTCTGCACCCCTTTCTGCCTCCCTCCCAACCCCATGCCGTTCCTCTGATTGCCTTGCTTCCCTCCTTGCCCGTTCCCCTGACTGCCTTGCTTCCCTCCTGCCCGCTCCCCTGACTGCCGCGCTGTCTTGGTCTCTCTCTCTCCCCGCTCTCTCCTCTGCCATCACTCGTGCGTGCAGCAGCCCTTCTCGCCCTTGTGCTGCCGTCACTCGCTCTCGCCAGCAGCACGGGGGAAGGTGAGGCACACACACTAGAGGCACACACACTACTAACCTAACTTTTGAGAGTAATCAAAGGTGACGACACACACCACTGTTAACCACTCTCACTGCACCACAATCGCTTGCGCAGAGGTCTGCTGTACCTGTAGTGTCACTGCCTGGTGTGTCTGCTGCTTCTCTCTTGTGTCCGCTGTTTCTGCCATTTCTGCTGCTTGCGTTGTGTCTGCTCTGCACCAAGACAGCAACCTCTAGTATGTGTCAGACGCTTCCCCGCTTCTCCCTCTTCTCCTCAACCCTCCCCCCCTCCCCTCCCACTTCCCCTGCTTCCCTCCCTCTCTGTTTCCCTCGTCCTTCCCCTCTCTTCCTCTCTCCCTAGCTTTCACACGCCCTTGCTCCCAACTCCTCTCCATTTTTACCCCACTCCTACTCCCATCTCCTCATTCCTACCTCTCTCTCTCCCACCCCCATCACTTCAATCTTCCCTCTCTCCCACTCCCCCATTCTCCACCCTTCCCTCTCTCCCACCCTCTCCCCCATTAACTGCAGCTCACTTCGCCGCCCAGCTCCTGAACGCGCATGGAATGAGAGGCACAATAAGCATATCCGTTTCAAGGTAAAAGAAACACTTTACTTGACTGGCATGCCGTCATCTCGTATCGTTCGCATTTCACGGCTTCACCTCCTCCCTCCTCCTTTCTCTCCCTTTGCCGTACATCGTTCTTCCTACTATCGTTGCCTTTCGTCGTGAATCTCATTACTTGCGTTAACCGTGCCCCTATGATTCACGAGAGTTCCTTTTCTCGACCACCCAGCTGCTTTCTTTCCTCTCCCATCCCATCTCCCATCCACTTCGCCCTTACCCTCCTACCCATCTCCCTTCCTCTCCCCCTCTGCTCCCCTCCCATCCCCGCTCCCCTCCTCTCCCCCACGCCCCTTCTCTTCCCGGACACCAAAGGTCCATATTGCGAGGCACGACCCCAGCCTACACCATCACTTTTGGTGCCGCCACCACTGCCGCCCACTCTCCTGCCCCCCGCTTCCCTCCCCTCCCCCTTCCCCCTTTCTCCTTTTTGTTTCCCAACATGCCGCAGGTCCATATCGCGAGGCACTGCCCCGGCCTACACCATCCGGTTCGGCGCCGCCATTGCTGACGCCCTCTCCCCCCCAAGCAACCTACTCCTCTCGCTGCCACGTGGCGCGATGCCATTGGTCCTATGCTGGGGATCGGCCGATTGCCAGTGGGTGGCAACGACGCCGTCCGTGTGGGAGGCGGCGGGGGAGAGGAGGATGAGAGGGGTGGATGTGCGGCAGGGGAGGGCGCTGGAAGAAATGCTAACTGTGGCAGGGGAGGGGAATGGGGAGGATGTAGCTGTGAGAGTGGGGAATGGGGAGGGTATTGCGGTCGGGGAGAGGAGGGTGAGGGGCGTGGATGTGCGGCAGGGGAAGGGGCTGGAAGAAATGTTAACTGTGGCAGGGGAGGGGAATGGGGAGGATGTAGCTGTGAGAGTGGGGAATGGGGAGGGTATTGCTGTCGGGGAGGGGAGTGATGCGGTGACAGGGTATGGTGTGCGCGCTGCGGTGGTGGTTGGAGGGGAGGTGGGGCATGGTGGTGATCTGGTGGGAGTGCTACGGAGGAGCCGCGAGTACAATCATGGTACGAGATGAGCTGAGCTGCTGAGCTGCACGTATTTGATTCGTGTTATTCTACTACTCTGAACTGAAGTGACTCCACTCCACATGCCTCCATTTACTTGCAAAGCAAACCGAACCCCAACCCCAACCTTCAACCAAACTCCAGTGGTGTAATTTTCGTATCCTTCACTCTTGCTTCCACGCCCATTTCCCACCACATTCCCTCCAACCCCACCCCGTCCATCCCCCACCTCACCACAAAATCACCTCTCCACCTTATTGCCTGGTCTGTACCCTCCCACCCCTTCTTCCCCGTCCATCCCCCACCTCTTACCTTTGCCGCCGCCTCTCACCCCTGCCACCTCTCACCCCTCCGACCCGTGCCACCCCTGCCGCCTCTCCCTTCCCTGCCACCTCTCCCACCTCGTCCGTTCTTCACCTCTCCCTTCCCTGCCTACCCCCCCATCCCTCCCACTTCATCCCTCCCCTACCTCTCACTGCAGACATCATCGTTCCACGGTACCCCTCACAGGACCCTCGATTGGAAGTGCGGCTGAAGGGGGAGGTTGGGGAACTGGGGGAGGGGCTATCAGGGGGCATGCATGGAGGGGCGTTTATGCTGGGAGCTTTCAAGTAAGATGATACTTGCTGGATACACACACTACTGTTGTCTGTTCTTTAAACGAACAATACAATGTCCATTTCAAAAGTCCGGAAGCAGTGTGGACGCAGTAAGATGATATCAAGCTCGTAAGTTAAACTATTTTTGCAGCTGCAAATCTTTGCAAGCTTCAAAAGCTCCTCTTCTGAGTGAACTCAAAGCAGACATTCTACCTTTTCTCGCTCACAGCCTCCGTTTGCGGACTCTGTGTCGTTTGTTCCTCTCCCTTATTTTCTTCAGGGACGGCAACGCGGCGATCCATTCACACTCTGCTCGTTATGTTCTCTTAAGCTCCCTCGGCTTCCTTCGCTCCATTTTTTTTCCTTCAGGGACGCCCACGTGGTGCTGAACTGCGGCATCGTTGAGGTGCCTTGAAACTTCTGAGGCCCCGGAAAAATCGACTCTTTCTGCTCCCTTTGCCCCTCGTCCTTCTCTTCCTTCTGGGACGGCCACATGGTGCTGAATTATGACTTCTTTTAAGGCGCCTCACAACTTTTGAGGACTTTTGAGGCGACTTTTGAGGCGCCTCAAAGCCACGTGGTGCAGACTTACGACATCTTTTTAGGCGCCTCACAAGTTCAGACAATTGATACAGATATTTTTTAAGCGCCTCAAATATTGTTTCTCTCTGCTCCCTTTGCTCCTCGTCCTTCCCTTCCCTCAGGGACGGCCAGGTGGTGCTGAATTATGACATCTGTGACGCCCCTCAGAGATTGATTGAAACCTTTGTTAGGCGCCTCATAAGCCTTTCCCACTGTTCCCTGTATTCCCCTACATTCTTTTTGCCAGGGACGGCCACGTGGTGCTTAATTATGACATCCGTGTTATCGGCCCCGCGCAAGAACCTTCTTCCATCAATCTCCTCGTTGACTACCCCGAACCGTCCTCGTTACAAGCTCCCTCGTTACAAGTCGCCTCGCTACAAGTCGCATCGCTACAAGTCGCCTCGTTACAGTGTGACTCGTGGGCCGAGTTGAAACCGCAGATGTGGCGGGCGCAATGCAGCAGCAGGTGGAGCAGCGCCAGCAGCAGCAGCAGCAGCAGCGCTGGTTCTTCTTTGCAAGGGCATGCTCAAAACATGTCTGAGGGCGTGTTCAATCGGTTCGCTTGCTTCGCCGTGGACGGTGTGAGGTCCCCCAGTGTGGCCGTGCTGTCGGTGGTGATTGGTGTGTCAAATATACTAAGTAGTCGGGCCTAGGCTTAGAAGCCTAGGCCACAGGAAGACTAGAACGAGGAGTCAAGTACGAACGAGAGTTGTGTGCAGGAACAGGATTGAGAAGGGAATGATTGGACTAGCAAGCAGCAGGATACAAATAGCAATCCCTAAGGGGTTGTACTCACTATTGAGTACCCCATTGCAGGCTACACAAACAACATATTCTGACACACCCCCATAGCCAAAGTGGGGTGTAATCAGCACAATGAGCAGGCAGTGCAAAAGTTCACAATGATCAGCAAAGCTAGAGGCTATCACAGAGGGCAAGTGAGGAGGAGGGACTGTGAGAGGAGAGAAGATGGGAGGCGACGACTGAAGCTGCAGACACACGGGCAACAGAAGCGGCTGACACAGTGGCGGCTGACACAGTGACTACCGAGGCAAGGGCCCCGGACTACTGGAGTAACTGGCTCTGCGGCTACGACGAGCGGCAGAAGCAACGGACCCACGGGCGACTGGTGCAGCAGGCTCTCAGTGGCTATCAGGAGCAAGGGCCCTGAAATACAGGAGTAACAGGCTCTGCGGCTACGACGAGCGGCAGGAGCAACGGACCCACGGGCTACAGGTGCAGCAGGCTCTCTGAGCTACCGGCGACAAGGGCCCCGGAATACAGGCGCTGCAGACGACACGACGGCTGCCTCCACTCAACCTCCCCCAACTGTCCCACACCCCCTACACACACCCCCAGTTTCACCCCTAGCTCCACTCCCACATCACCCCCATAAACCCTAAACCCTCGGCTCCCACACACCCACCCCCCTCAGTGGCAGCTGCAGTAGTGGGAGACGGAGGAGGAGGAGGAGCTTCAGGTTACCCACACCGGTCACCCCCATGCTCGCCACCCCACACCCCAACCACCGCGGAACGCACGGCGGAATGGGAGCAATGGGCAGCACGGGGGGGGGGGGGACGGGACGGGCTGCAGGGACGGGCCGCGGGCTGCTGCAGGTGCGGGCTGCTCCAGGGGCGGCTGCTGCAGGTGCGGGCTGCTCCAGGGGCGGCTGCTGCAGGCACGGGCTGCTCCAGGGGCGGCTGCTGCAGGTGCGGGCTGCTCCAGGGGCGGCTCCAGGGGCGGCCGCTGCAGGTGAAGGTAGGAGGAAGGGGGGGGGGGGGGGGAAGAGCGCGGCCCCCAGGGCGCCGAGAAAGGGAGCCGTGCGGCCCCCCAGGGCCGCTGCGACGGGCGACGGGAAGGGTGCCGCGCGGGCCCCCAGAGCCGCCGCGACGGGCGACGGGAAGGGCGCCGCGCGGGCCCCCCCGGAGCGCCACGACGGGCGACGGGAAGGGGAGGCAGCGCGGCCCCCGTAGTCGCCACGATGGGCGACGAGAGGGGAGGCCGCGCGAGCCCCCGTGGTCGCCTCGACGGACGACGGGAGGGGAGGCCGCGCGAGCCCCCGAGGTCGCCACGACGGACGACGGGAGGGGACCGCGCGCGAGCCCCCGTGGTCGCCACGACGGGCGACGGGAGGGGAGGCCGCGCGGGTCCCCGAGGTCGCCTCGACGGGCGACGGGAGGGGAGGCCGCGCGGGTCCCCGAGAGCGCCTCGACGGGCGTTTCGACGGGAGGGGACCGCGGAGGCCCCCCCAAGGGCACCACGACTGGCGCCACGGAAGGGAAAACCGCCAGGCGCCCCGAGCGCGCGGCGGGCAGAAATTAGGGTTTCGCCGCCGCGCACCACGGGGCGCGCGGCGGACAGTACGGCAGCGGAAGCGGGTGGTGGGCCCATACACAGGTAGGCGGCAGACATGCCGCCCTCTGATACCATGTCAAATATACTAAGTAGTCGGGCCTAGGCTTAGAAGCCTAGGCCACAGGAAGACTAGAACGAGGAGTCAAGTACGAACGAGAGTTGTGTGCAGGAACAGGATTGAGAAGGGAATGATTGGACTAGCAAGCAGCAGGATACAAATAGCAATCCCTAAGGGGTTGTACTCACTATTGAGTACCCCACTGCAGGCTACACAAACAACATATTCTGACATGGTGCAGCTGGTAAGTCAGCTTTGGGAGCCACTGGCCCGCTTGTAGGGGGCATAGTTTGGAGGGCGCCAGTTGGGGGGATGGAGCAGGAGGAGAAGGTGAGTCAGGAGGAGCAGCAAGGGGAGCAGCAAGGGGAGCCGCAGGGGGAGGAGGCGAGTCGGGAGCAGAGTGGCTTTAAGAGTGGCAGTGGAGCTGCTGCAGCCGTGGCTGCTGCCTCTCTTAGAGTCCCTGGTGCCAGTGCTGCTTTCAATATAGATGTAGGTAAATCTGCTGAGGGTGGTAATGCTGCTGAGGGCAGTAATGCTGCTGAGGGCGGTAATGCTGCTGAGGGCGGTAAAGCTGTTGAGGGCGGTAAAGCTGCTGAGGGCGGTAAAGCTGCTGAGGGTGCTGAATCAACATCTGCTAACAAGTGTGAAACCTCCGAGTTTCCCTGTGCTGATGATTCCGAGGGCACCATCACCTACCAGAGGCTTGACTTGCTTGAAGAAGAAATTGATGGTACGGATATCCTTGTTCGCGGCCGCACTCTTAGCAACACGTATGAGGGCGAGTTTCCTGCTGTCATCGAGGGAGCTTATAACGAGGATGGAGGGGAAACGGTAGACAATACAGATGAAGCAGGGAATGTGGTGGGTTCAGGGTTAGGGGACAGGAGAAGGGTAGGAGCAAAGGCAGGAGCAGAGGCAAGAGCAGAGGCAGGAGCAGAAGCAGGAGCAGAGGCAGGAGCAGAGGCAGGAGCAGCATTCATGCTGAGTCCTCCTGTGTCCCACAGGCTCTCCCATACGTCACACCTGGCTCGACTGCCACGTCAGCCACATCAGCACCACGGCAGTGCCTCTTCTGCATCGCATGGTGCTTGTGACAGGAGCAGTTTCGCTGTGAAAGAACGTGATGCTGGCCCTGCTGTTGAATCGTGTTGACGATCTACCGTATATGGTGTGGGTGGGCACTGGGCCGTGCATAGAATGTGTCGGACGCCACGGCCGCACTGCCAACACACTTTAGCTGTAGAGCTTAACGGTACAGCTTGATTATTGACGCTGCCCGCAACGGCGATGAAGACCGGTATTTGTTACTTGTGGGTTTCAAAAAGGCTCTGATTCGGTCTCAAAGGAGTTTATCTTTACGGGCCTTGAGGATAATATGCCTCCACAGAGGCACACGGACAGACCTGGTAATTAACTGGTGGAGGTGTTTTTTGGGGTTCGGCAAGGTTGCCCCCTCGCACCCTGTCTCTTCCTCTATAGTGTCGAAGCATTGGCATAGGAGGCCGCAGGTTGGTTTTTATAAACGGAGCAGTTAGCGTTTGATGAAGTACAGCACAAGACTGAAGTATATTAATGGTCATCTTGTGTATGTGCTGGCATTTTTGTGGTGTGGTTGTATGAATTTGTAAGGGGATTTGTGTATTAAGGCTCTTTGTGTAAGGATTTTTCCTTTATCCTTACCGGGGTTGACTGCTACGCGTACAACCCCGATTTTCGGACTTCGCACGTTCGGCCGACATCAATGATGCCGAGGCTCCTCCGCGTCGCCTTCGGCTTTCCGTCGCCAAACCTGGACTTAACCTCGTTTCCCGAGGTTCCCTCATAGCTAGGGTAGTCACTACATAGTCGCGTGCTTTCATTGTAATCGACAGTTCATTAAGTCACAGCTTCGTTAATCGTTATTCCGCGCACTCTCCATTACAACTCATAACACTTTGGGTCTAGTATTGCCACCCTGTGGGTTGAGTTGTCAGGTGTTGCTTGTAACGAAGCTAGTCTCGCTATCTCGAAGTTTTATTGGAGACAATAATTTACTGCTTGAAAGTCCCGCACCGCATTTCACGGATGTACCTCCTAAACGTTGAATTATTGGTGGCCGTGCATATACACTGTTCAGGAACGCCTTGCATCGTATCTAACCGAGCAATGTACCGGTTTTCCCGTTTTGAACGCCCTATTTGCGTGATACATGGGAAGTATCTGTACAGGCAGAGACTTCAGCCCATCACCCCTGCATCCACACTCTGCCCATCTTTGTGAATTCATTACGAATTCACTCCACCCAAGGCAGCCCATTTGGCAACCCTGAGTTCTATAGGCTTGATATTCTTCCAACTGTGCCGAACTAACGCTGCAATAGAGCGCGCTTCAGTGCCATAGAAGCGGCTAAACGTTGAGCTGCGCACAAGAAGCAGCGTCGCACCCGTCGCAGGCTCTATGTCGCACAGTCGCGGAGGTAGTGTATGTGGCTCTCCACGTTGAGGTTTAACTCGAAGGAGCTATCGCAATAAAACCTTCGCGGAGAGTTTGCCGCTCCACCCGCAGCGGCTGTTGCGTTGGTGTTTGTGGGCTACTAGCTCTTGGGCTCTCGACTGGCAAGCACGATGACTGTTCCTCGTGATGGTCAACGCGAAAGTCAACGCGGAGGTCAACGTGAGGGTCAGAGTCAACGCGAGGGCCAACGTGAGGGTCAACGCTTCTCGCTATCCCGAGCCCCGCCTATCGCCGCCGTAGGTGAGCTCTCATATTTCAAAGCAGATGTTTGTGTGGATGCCACTGTTGCCACTCATGCCACTGATGCTCAATTCCTTCCCTACCTCCCAACCCCATGCCGTTCCCCTGACTGCTTGCTTCCCTCACTGCCTGTTTTTCTGATTGCCTTGCTTGCTTCCTACCCGTTCCCCTGAATGCTACCCTGTCTTCGTCACTCTCTCTTCTCTCTCCCTCTCTCCCCTCTGCCGTCCCTCGTGCATGCAGCAGCGCTTCTCGCCTTTGTGCTGCCGTCCCTCGCTCTCGCCAGCAGCACGGGGGAAGGTGAGCCCACACATTACCGGAATCCGCTGTGTCTACTGCTTCTCTTGTGTCTGCTGGTTCTCGCTTGTCTCCGCAACTTCCCCCCTCTCCCATTTCCCCTCCTTCCCTCCCTCTCTAGTTCCCTCCTCCTTTCCCCCACTCCCTCTCTCCATTTTTCCCCTACTCCTACTCCTAAGTCCTCATTCCTCTCTCTCTCCCACCTCCATGTCTTCATTCTTCCCTCTCTCCCGCTCCCCCTATCTCCATTCTTCCCACTTTCCCACCCTCTCCCACCCTCATCGCTCCTCGTCTCCCTCTTGTGATTCCCTCTCCCACCCCCATCGCTCCTCTCCGTCCCTCAATTCTCCGCTCCCTCTTGTGATTCCCTCTCTTGTAATTCTCCGTTCCCTGCAGCTCCCTTCGCCGCGCAGCTGCTGAACGCCCGTGGAATGACTGTTGAGGCACCTCAAAACTTATCACTCCTCGCCTCCCCCTTGTGATTCCTTGCAGCTCACTTCGCCGCGCAGTTGCTGAGCGCCCGTGGAATGAGAGGCACTATAAGCATATCCGTTTCAAGGTGAAAAGCGCTCTATTTGACCGGCATGCCGCATCTCGTATCGTTCGCATTGCACGGCTTCACCTCCTCGCTCCTCCCGTTGCTTCCCTTCGCGTAACATCGTTCTACCCCCCACCCTCCCTTGCTCGTCCGTGAATCTCACTGCTTGCATCAAGCGGTTGATGATTAACCGCCCCCCTGAGACTCACGAGAGTTCCCCAAGCCGCCCCTCGACCATCCAGCTGCTTTCTTTGGTCTCCCATTTCCCCTCGACTTCCCCGTACCTTCCTCCCCCTCTCCCATCCCCTCCCCTCTTCTCCTCTCCCCTCGCCCCTCACCTCCGCTCCCCCTCACCTTCTCTTGCCCGGAAAGCAAAGGTCCATATCGCGAGGCGCAGCTCCCCGCTGCTGCCCCCCACCTACACCGTCACCTACACCGTCCAATTCGGTGCCGCCACCACTGCTGCCCACTCCCCTGCCCTCCGCTACCCCTCCCCGTCCCCTCCTCCCCCCCTTTCCCTTCGTGGTTTTCGCAGGTCCATATCGCGAGGCACGGCCCCGGCCTACACCATCCGCTTCGGTGCCGCCGTTGCTGGCGCCCACTCCCCCCCAAGCAACCTCCTCCTCTCGCTGCCACGTGGCGCGCCGCCATTGGTCCTGTGCGGGAAAGTCTCTGCTGGGTCTACTGGTTCTGCCGGTGCTGCTGGGTGCCAGTGGGTGGCAACGACGCCGTCCGTGTGGGAGGTGACAGGGGAGAGGAGAATGAAAGGAGTGGATTTTCGGCAGGGGAGGGCGCTGGAAGAAATACTGAGGGGAGATGAGGAGGAGAATGAGGAGGGGAATGAGGAGGATATGACCATTAGGATGGGGAGTGGGGAGGATATCACTGTAAGGATGGGGAATGAGGGGCATGGTGATCTGGTGGGAGCGCTACGGAGAAGCCGCGAGTACAGTCACGGTACGTTCTGAGGTGAGGTGAGGTGAGGTGAGGTGGGGTGAGGTGAGGTGTGGTGCGGTGCGGTGCGGTGAGTTGCACTTGTTGAAAGGTTCATAGAAATGTTTGCCTCTCGTCATGGTATTACTGTAGCTGCATTGTTCTGACACGAGCGACTTCAGTTGGCTTGCTACGATCGAATCCGCCCGTAAACAACATCGCTGAATTGTTCTGACTTGCTTGGTGATGCCACTTCCCCGCCCGCTTCATCCCCTCTCTCTCCCTCTCCTCCCCAGGCCCCCTGCCCACTTGGCTTTTTATTCTTGAAAAGCAACCCCTACCCCAATTTTAGCTCAAGCCATCGTGATCGCCTTGCGTGCCCATATTATCCACTCTGCACCTCGTCCGTTCCTTACCTCTCAACCCCTGTCATCTCTTGCTTTCCCTCCCACCCTCCCACCCCTCCGTCACTCCCTTCCCTCCCCACCCCTCCCATTCCCCTCCTCTTCCCTTCCCTCTCGTCCATCCCCCATCCCCCATCCCCCCTCCTCCCACTCCAGACATCATCATTCCGCGCTACCCCCCACAGGACCCGCGCCTGGAAGTGCGGCTGGAGGGGGAGATGGGTGAGATGGGGGAGGCGGGGGAGGGACTCGCAGCGGGCATGCGCGGAGGGGCGTTTATGCTGGGGGCGTTCAAGTAAGATGATTCTTGCTGATCCACTATTGTTGCTCGTTTCTAAATGAAACAAATTAAACTTGAAGACTGGAAGCTGTGTGGATGCACTAAGATGATCCCAAACTCGTAAATTCAACAGTTTTTGCAGGTGAAACTTGTAGTTTTTTTATCAACAGTTTTATATTCAACAGTTTTTTAGTCAACAGTTTTTGCAGGTGAAACTTGTAGTTTTTTTACCTTCTGCATATGCATTTCTTTTTTCCCCCTTTGCGGACAATCTGCCGACCATCCACACACTGTCGACCATTCACTCTCTGCCGTCCATTCACACTCTGCTCTCATGCTCTCTCTAGTTCCCACTGCTCCCTCTGTTCGTCTTATGCCCACATGGTACTGAATCAATACATCTGCTTCCTTTATTCCCGATGCTTCCCTTCCCTTCAGGGACGGCCACGTGGTGGTGAATTATGACATCCGCGTTATTGGCATTGTGCAAAAACCTTCTCACTATTTCCCACTGCTCCCTCTGTTCCTCGTCCTTTTCTTTCTTTCAGGGAAGGCCACGTGGTGGTGAATTACGACATCCGTGTCATCGGCCCAACTCAAAAACCTTTTCTTTGAGGAACCTGAAAGACCGTCTCAATCTGTTCCCTTTGTTTCTCTCCTCGTCCTTCTCTCTTCCCTCAGGGACGGCCACGTGGTGGTGAATTATGACATCCGTGTCATCGGTCCCGTGTTTTATTCTCACTGCTTCCCACTGCTCCCTTTGTTCCTCATCTTTTTCATTCTTCTCCTCCCTCAGGGACGGCCACTTGGTGGTGAATTACGACATCCGCGTTATCGGCCCCGCTCAAAAACCTTTTCTTTGAGGAACCTGAAAGACCGTCTCAATCTGCTCCCTTTGTTTCTCTCCTCCTCCTTCTCTCTTCTCCAGGGACGGCCACGTGGTGTTGAATTATGACATCCGCGTTATCGGCCCCGTGCAAAAACCTTCCGCCATCAATCTCCTCGTTGATTACCCCGACCCGACCTCGTTACAAGTCGCCGTGCTACAGTGTGACTCGTGGGCGGAGGTGAAACCGCAGATGTGGCGGGCGCAATGCAGCAGCAGGTGGAGCAGCAGCTGCAGTGAGAGCAGCGGCAGCAGTGCTGGCTCTTCTTCGCAAGGGCGTGTTCAAAACATGTCTGAGGGCGTGTTCAATAGGTTCGCTTGCTTCGCCGTGGACGGTGAGAGGTCTCCCAATGTGGCCGTGCTGTCAGTGGCAGTCGGTGCAATTGGCCAGGCAGGTGTGGCAGGCATTGAAGGTGGCTCGCTCGTGGGAGGCATAGCCTGGAGGGGACTTTTGAGGCGCCTCAAAAGCCAGGCAGGTGTGGGAGGCATTGAAGCTGGCTCGCTCGTGGGAGGCATAATCTGGAGGGCGCCACTTGGGGATTTGGAGCAGGGTGAGCAGCAGGGGGAGCAGCAGGGGGAGCAGCAGGGGGAGCGGCAGGGGGAGCAGCAGGGGGAGCGGCAGGGGGAGCAGCAGGGGGAGCAGCAGGGGGAGCAGCAGGGGGAGCAGCAGGGGGAGCAGCAGGGTGAGCAGCAGGGGGAGCAGCAGGGGGAGCAGCAGGGTGAGCAGCAGGGGGAGCAGCAGGGGGAGCAGCAGGGTGAGCAGCAGGGGGAGCCGAGTGGAAGTGGAGGTGCTACAACCGTGGCTGCTTCTTCTCTCATAGTCTCTGCTGAGAGTGCTGAGAGTGCTGAGGCTGGTAAGGGTGCTGATGCTTCCGGGGGTGCTGAGTCAGCGACTGCGACCAAGTGTAAAACTTCCGAGTTTCCCTGTGGTGATGATACTGAGTGTGCCATTACCTACCAGAGCCTTGTCTCTCTTGAAGCAGAAATTGATGGTACGGATATCCTTGTTCGTGGCCACACTTTTCAGCGACACGCACAAGGGCGGGTTTTCTACTGTCGTCGAGGGAGCTTATAAAGAGGATGAAGGGGAAACGGCTGAGAATACTGAAAAAGCAGGGGATGTGGTGGGTCCAGGGTTAGGGGACAGGATACACGTAGGAGCAGAGGCAGGAGCAGCAGCATTCATGCCGAGTCCTCTTGTGGCAAACAGGCTATCCCATACGTCACACATGCCCCGACTGCCACATCTGCTACTGGTATATCAGCACCATGGCAGTGTGTCTTCTGCACCGCATGATGCTTGTGACAGGAACAGTTTCGCTGTGAAAGATCATGTTGCGGGTACTGCTGTTGAGTCGTGCTGACGATCTTGTCAAGAGATAGCATCTTAGACTTAGGAGGAGCTGGAACTCAGGAGGAAGTAGGATTTGGGGTTGATTGACGAGAATCATGTCGATAAGAATTGGAAAGGAGAGGTTCACTAAGAAAAAACGAGTACAAAATATAGTAGAGAGAGCAAGAGCTAAGGTGCACCACCAGGACAATAGGAACTACACTACAGTAAATCCTACAGGCAGTGATAAAACATAACATATTAATGATATTTTCAGAGAGATCTGCATGCGGTGGGCAGTTACATAAAATGTGTTGGATGCCATGGGTTGACTTTTAATACAAGTTTAGCAGCTCAGGTCAGTAATAGGAATGGTTTATTCCTTGACATGTGTTTGTCTTAGGAACTGCAACTTCTGTGAGTGGTTATCTTCAGTTTTTGCTCCAGGGATTCATATACACGATAAATACAGTTCCTTACGGCTTAGTCTTATTTCCAGTTTTCCTGTAGGTAAGATTCCTGACTCAGCAAAGGTTCCTTTCACCTGAAAGTAAATGATGACGTCATGGCCCACCTTTGATGTTTTTTTGTTTATTTTGTCTGGATTGACGACAACAACACTGGAAACC